GAGAGAGAGGGGCCGGGGGGTGTAAAAACTAACCTCCACATCCAGTCCATACTTGTTTGCTGACCTCATGTACCTCTTGAATCCATCAGTTTCGTCCGAGGCCACAGTGACCAGCAGGAGGCCTGTAAGGTGAAGAAAATGTTAATATATTATGTTGATTACTGATCTACCTCACACTATGACAAAATACTTTATTCAATATCTTAATTGGTTAAATGTCCCCTGTAGAGTGATAAATACTATCTGTAGTTTAACAGTGTGAGAGAGAGAGAGAGAGAGAGAGAGAGAGAGAGAGAGAGAGAGAGAGAGAGAGAGAGAGAGAGAGTTCTAGCAAATGTTTGTAATTGCATCTTAATATTAGTAATAAATTGTAGAATATACTTCTCTTTGCAAAAATGCTCATAAAATGGACAAAGGGTGTTACTGAAGAGCATTTTGTTTCTACAATATATTGTTGATATAAAAAAAAAGAAATATATAAACAGTTTAACAAGTAAAACATTGTGTACTTCATCTATTACCATTCTGGACTAGATCACAATCCTTTATCAATATTCATCTGTTCTCATGCATCAAATCAAACACTAGTCATATGCCACATAGCTTCAGGGTATGGAGGTCCTCAGGCATAGCTAGATATATGGCTGTAATTCTGTACCAGTGTAGTACCAGATACATACTACAATAACTATGTGGGCTGGTTTCATAAAACACTGTGAATCTAAAAGCTGGTCTTTGACCGAAAACATTTATTCTTAATTTCATTCCACACTCTGATTTGGCCTACAATAAAATGAGTTGTCTAGCTAAGAAGGATTTGAGTCAAAGTCTATTGTATGTTTTTTATGTTCCTTTAGTAGCAAGATACTTAACCATGATATACTGTTGAATTTCTAGACAAGGGACAATAGTTTCAGCTGCTCTGAGGATAAAAAAAAACTCTGGAACTTTCCTTTTATTTACACTGACAAGTCACATCATGCAAGCTTCATGCACACCATTTTCCAATTGCCATTTTCTCAAACAAGTTGAGAATGGATGGAAAATTCCTACAATCTTGACTTAGCATTATAAGAGAAGCCTGATGTATAACATGTAACATTAGCATGTACTCCTACTGGGGGTACATGTTCATTGTTTTCTCCATAGAATTTTCTGAGCTTCGGTGACTTGGACTGTGTTATGTTAAAAAACATGGACTCCATCAGTAAATTTCACTTCCATACATGTCTACTGACAGTATGCAAGAGTGCAAGAATCAAAACTTGCGTTCTTCTAATGTGACAATCTTTTACTAAATCTCTTTCATCCCAGTACCTCACTTTTCAAAATTCTAAGTCAACAATTATGCCCATAATTAACAACAGACTATTTTAAAGATTATCACTTATTAATTTTGTTCAAAATTAATAAACATTCAGTAACAAGCAGTATTAGTGATACCTAACACAAGGTTTTTGTTGCAATGGGGAAGAGTTTATTTTCTACTGAGTGCAATATTTCCTGATCTGTCTCAATATACCAGCGGGCTATCACATGTACTCAGCATGGAAGATTCTACATTCTAACTGTACCAACTTAATACAATGATAACATAATAGGGCATTATTTTTTCATGCGACGCTTAATTTATCACTCTGTTCCTAATGGCAGGGCTCAGAATAAAAGTGTCTTTATTTAACGCTGAAGAGTCTAGTCTAAGAGTTCTATGTAAATGATGAGATCATGATGGAAAGTTAATAAAGGCCTCTTTCTTTCTTCTTTTTTAAAGTTCAACTGAAAATGTCACTCTGAAAATAATCAATGTTGAAATAAACGGTGACTTGTTGCTTTGAGTCATTTGACAAAATGCACATTTTCATTCCTATAGGACAAAAAGTAATTACTAGTAAACGTCCCTCCCAGCATTTGGTTTAGTTGCCTACCACTTACTAGTACTCTGTCTCTTCACAGACATCATGCTGTTTGCTGCCTGCATTAAAATACGAAAACATTTTAGTAATTCACATCAACATTTCCTATATGTGGCCTGAAGTGGAATTTGACTTCCTCTCTCCTCTACAAACACACACACACACACACACACTCACACACACACACTTAACTTAAAAAACCTCTCTTTTCAAGGTGACCGTACTTTTTTTACTATCTTAACTTGCTACATGACAGAGCACTCGTTTCACCCAGACAGGAATCAAATAAGTAACTAATAACATGACATTAAAGTCCCGACATGATAATTTTCTACTATATTTGCTGCCCTGATTCTTCCAACATTTTACAGTGTATAATTTGATGGGAGATAAGACACTGTCACAGTCTTCCCTACAGAAATCTCATAAGATCAGTTGTTTTACATAATTTGTTGCAGCAGTATCACTTGATAAGGGAGGAGATTTCTTTTTCTATTAATTCATAGCATTCCTATCAATCCCATTTTGAAAAAAAAAAAATGAGAAAACAAAATTTCTCATAGATGTCTTTTAAAATCAAAATCTGTGATGTCAAGAGCCTGCAGTACACAGATATCATATATGTGGATTGTACATTTTCTTACTTAAATGTTTGAAACTTTTGTTCAATAAACGAATTTGTGTGTAATTTGACATAAGTATATTCAACTGAACCCTGTATTTTTAAAGACTTTATGCAGAAAACATCCCTTTTATTACATCAAAGTTGTACGTTTTTTTATGAAGTGCAATTTAAGCATAAGATATGGTAGCTCTGGTACTTTTGCAAGGTCAAAGACCCAAATAGTCCACTGCCAGGGATTTACTAGTATATATATCTTGGGTTTTAAAATGGGTGCAGATGGAAAAACAATTTATGAAAGTCAATCCAGTATATGGCCAAAGTTTATGACATTTACCACTTTAACTGCAGCTGGCATTTTAACCTAGTCCCAAGGCTGCAGTTTGAGCATATCCCATCTTACCTCAGGTAACCTTACTGGTATAAATTAAAATCTCAAATTTCTCACCCATTTTTTACTTTTTAAAATACATCATCTTTAAACACTCACAAAACTGCACATTCTCACATGAAGCCACCTCACTTTTCAAAATGATTACATCAACATGTTAAAATATCACTAACAAAACCTGGTGGGTTATTAATTTACATCAATTTAAATTAATAGAGCAATTACCATAATGTACAGTAAAGGCGACCTGGCTTAGAGATTAGACTGCTATCAGGAAGTCAGCTACCCTGGTAGCTTATATGCAATGCATTATGATATTACAACAGGCTAGGGTTGCCTACATTACTAGACTTTATGTATCAATCAACAGTTAGAGGTGGGAAAACGGCAGGATTCAAAATACTTAAATTGTGTAAAATATGTGTTATTGTGTTAGAGTTAACCAATAACATTAACAGAATTGAAATAAACAGACACAGGACTTTTTTTCTCAAAAAAGAACTTTGGCAGTTTCCGACCACTTCAGGTCAAGATTAATCCTACTTAAATAAATAATATACTGGTCTCAACCATTGGCTGTGGCTTTCTTCTCTAAAATCAAGAGCAACATTTGATTTGAACTGGCTACTAGTACTACTGGTTTACCTGTGGTCTTAGTAGACTCAAACTTGGGTCTAAAGTTTTACAACAATTTCCCTTCTTTCATGAAACATGTTCATGGCCTACATCTACTTTCAGGGAAATTCCACAGAATTCTTACTCCACACTGGAACTTGTATGTATATAAAGTATACAGACAGAGGAATGCACCTTCAACTGACCTATTACTGTTAAATTAATGTGTGACTCTATGTGGACAAACCATGTGATTTGGATTTCTAACCACATGAAGCCAATCTAGTCTACTCCACTACCACTGTGATATAAAATCGGTCTCAGACACTAACCACTGGATCCACATGAACTTCCCGTAAAATAAGAACCAGGCCAGTAAAGTTTTTTTTTCAGTTTGCTCAGTTACTGGCCATTGTTTTAAGCATTAGTCTAGCAGATTCTAAGGGACCATTCCCAGACCCTATCGTACTAACTCTGGGTCGATCTAGGTATGGGAACATAGTCTCAGACCCTGGTGGACAAACAGGTCAGTCGTCTTAAAAGTTTTTGGTGATGAGAACGCAAAACCATCATCTGCTCAGGAGGTGGTGGGACTGCCAAACCCTCATCTGCTCAGATGCCTTAGGTTAAACTGTCTCAGCTTGACTGTGAACCTGTCTTATAATCTGGTATCAGACCATCTACTCTATCTGATTTTTATCTTTACTACACTGTATGTTAACACAGAATGCTCTAAGATAAACTGCTTCAACTTGACTGGGAACTCACCCTATCATCTGATCTCAGATTTTTATCTGCTGTACAGTTGGGATAGGATAGAACTGTAAACTCCACATATATCCCTTAATGAGGGTTTAATGCAGACTACTTGATTTAAAACAGATCCTTACTAGTAACATACCACACCAAAACATGAATTAACAGTGGATTTTTATTAAAGTACTACTACGTGATTATATTAGTACAGACAGTGTCTCCTGAAACTGAGATGCAAAAAAAAAAAAGTACCTGCAGAGAAAAACAATCCAATGAAATAAATGGACTATTAAGTAAGCCATCAGAATGTTAATGTCTACCATCATTTCACCACTGTATTAACATTTTGCATCAAGTAAGTAAATAAATAAACTATTTACACTGAATTTACATAATAAACAAAGTCATCCTGCTTTCTGCCCCAGCATTTTAAATACAATCACATGCTTAAAATGTCTTCAGAATTTAAATGATAATCATCAATTTGCTACAATGTTTACATCTAGAACAATCCACTGGTTAAAGATGTGGTTTTTACTACATTAGCTGCTGGGGTTATCTTAGGGTCTTGATGGAAAAAAATGAGTACAAGTCCCTGAGTTTCACGATGAGAGTTTTAACTGACAAAAAACACAAAGTACTCAAGCAGTAAAATAGGGCTCACTATGCTCTATTCTGCATTCAGTTTCACGCATGTTGTTGCTTGTTGAAATGGAGCATTGCACAATCCATTGATTTCCATGCAAACTAATACAAGCCATGCTGGTTGAGATTTTTTGTATAAAATTAAAATCTAATTTGTGTGGAAGAAAAAAAATCCCCCTACTCATGAATTATTACCTGACCTATTCCTGCAGTTGATTTTGATGATTTGTATCACATCTTAAGAAAATAAATTCAAATGCCTCATCCAGCCTACTAGGTTTTCCTCAAATTTTAGAGGAGGGGGGATACTGACATCAGGTCATTTTATTTGAGCAGTTTAATTTTGTTAAAGGTGTGAGTGGAAACAGGTAAGAAGCATTACAGGGCAAAAAGACAAAAATATGAATCAGGGCCATTTACAATCTTTGAGAGGGCGGTTCTAAAGGTCCCAAAAATTGCCCTGAAGGAAACCCTGTATTACATCAACTGTCTTCTGCCCTCAGTGTTTATTTCTTAAAGTGCATTTCCATAGATTTAGACTTGGGGGTTCATGCTAAATTGCAGTCAGCCGAGCATGCACGGTAGTTAATTACCCTCTTACAGCTTTTAGTAGGCGGGACAGACGCTTAAGCCGGCTAAGCTGACAGTAATCTAGTGAGACTCTCCACAGGGATAGATCGATCTAAAATCTGTGGGAATGGGGTCTTAGATTAACACCACATCAACAAGAAGGATTACCTCCCACCTGACCACATAAACTGGTTATAACTGAACAACAGCCTTGTTATAACACCACACAGTCCCACCCTCCTCCTACTCATCCATATAAAACTCACTTAACCTGGGGGCCATTTCACCCGAGAATAAAAGATGGAAAATTAATCAAATTCCTTTGTGGAACTGCCCCCTGCACAACCGTTTGTTGTTATTAGCTGTAATTGTGTAAAATTAAGAACTAAACTAGCCAACAGTATCAAATACTACACTCACTTGCCAAGTAAAGTCTAAAACCACATTCAGTATCACATCTTAATCTTTCCCCCAAAGTAAATTGTTTTTTCCAGCCCCCTTTATCCATTAATCTTATCCAGGGCTTGACATTAAGGGTGGCCCACTGGCCCTGGGCTACTGAAAACCAACCTAGGGCCATTGAATCGCTGGGGTCACTGGCCCAAAGAGCAAGTAAAATGTCATGTGCCAAATAACCCCTGCATTATCTACATATATCTCAGGCATATCTCAGTATCGAAAAAAGTTTTTGTCAAGCCTAATTGTTATCAATCTTACAAATAACTTTTTTTGTCTCCATTCTATATTTTCTTTTTGCCTTGGGTCAAAGTGTCTGTATTTGAGTTTAAAAAGTCATTCACCACGAGAGAAGCTATATATTTGGAGATATTTACAACTACTGAGGCCAACCGGTTATCAATTATTTCCGTCCAGCTCATTTGCATCTGTCAAACCACAACGCCAGCGGCACGAAACTTAAAAAACTACTTTCTACTTACATTTAAAACTAGCTTTAAAGTTATATTAAGAATTTTAATTCAAATCCTACAAAAATGCAAACGGGTTAAAATCCATCCTTCTTGTTCTGGTCCGCGAGTTTGGATCAAGTGGATCAGATTTCTCGCGACTTTGAAAAAGTTTGCTGTTTCGCACGTACGCAGAACTCGTTCGGGGCACTTCTAAACTTCACGTTTTCCTCCATCCATGAGTAAAGTACGATCGCATAAAACTATCAGTATATACGTACCATCATCCACGCTCGATGAGTGAACTCCAATGCTAGGCGAACTCCATGGTGGGAAGAAAACAAAGAAAATCGGCAGACACACCATAAAGAGTCTACTGATCAACGCCATGTTGCTGCGTGCATTAACTCTCCTAACTTCTCCGCAGTTGATTATCACCTCGCTCTCTGATTGGTTAAAAATAAATTGTGTCAGCTTAGTTCAGAGGTTCCAGACGATTCTGCTTGCGTGGAAAGTCTCAATTACAGCCACATGAACTCTGCCAGAGGTGGCTTGTACACGTAGTTCCGCTTTTAGTCCGAGAATATATTTTAAATCTCAGTTTTGCCTGCCCGTGTGGAAGTTACTCATAGTTGACAACAATGAGAGCGCCACACCCACGCAACACGCTCTAGCTGTAGCCACGCCCTATTTGTAAGACTGGTCCAATATAAAACTCGTTCAAATTGTGGGCCAGTTTTAATTGAATATAATTTACGTAGGTGTTCAGTGCTAGACTGGGGTGTATAGTGCTACCACATATATTTAAATCTGGAAGTGATTTTTGGTGAAATGTATAGGCCTATATATATAGGCCTACAGGGCCTATAGCTTTCATTCAGTTTAAATAGCAGATAGGCCTACTCGACACACACTGGCGGGTTCAGGAGATACAAAAGGGTTGTGCATGTTCATGTGTAAACAGGAAAACCAACACTAAAAATAAATAAATAAATAAATGATAATTATAATAATGATAATATCTCTACCAGACAGAATGAAATTGCATGTAGGGCCTATTTGCTGATCAATTTTTTTCCCCTGTTTTTTTTTATATATTTATTTTTAAGGGGGTTGGGGTTAAGGGGAAGAGTTGGATGTCCAAGGGGGAGATAATTGTGGGAAATTTGGTAAGAGAGGAGAGAGAGGGAAGCAGGGGGTACCTCCGCTCAGGGAGGAACAGGTGTCCGTTTTGTCCTCCCCTGAATCCTCTGTGGACCATGGAACTGAGCGAAGAAACATCTTTTTGAAAATCTATCTGCAAGTTGATATCAATATATAGTTATGAGTTTGAGACTAGGTACAGTTGTGTCGCTGGAACCAGGAAAACACTAGCAAACCCAAATCACCGGTCAACTTGATGGTGTTTTTCTAACCCCGTCAGCGCAGGTATATTGAATTAATACATGTGGCGAGAACTAACACCGCATCCTGTGCTGTGCGTCCCTGCCGTTGAAAGTTAACTGCTCCTCTCTGTCTCTTCTTTCTATTGGAACAGCAGAATATCTCAATAATTATTTTGATTAGAATTTGCTTAATTCCATCCTGAAATTCACTTCTACCCTACCCCCATTTTTTAGATTTCTAGAAATGTTATAGGGCCTATGCTGATGATTGAAGTTAGCTTTCAGATTTGTCTAAAACCCAAGGCGATTTTTGCGTGCCAAAAGACATTTTTTTTCATTTTCTTTTACTACAGGTGTATATTAAACATTTTCTGGTCAATTTAAAGAATGAGTGTATAGTGGGAAAATGCTCCCGTACTCAAACGAATATCTATTTACGACTCTTTGCTAATTCAAGACCTCGCAGACCTAACAAAATCTGGTAGCCATTTCACGTCGCTCTGAAGATCTACATAATGTTGACATTTGTATCACTTAACATTAAATAAATAAAGAATGGTGTGCACCAAACCTCAATGTTCCAACATAAAACGGGTGTATTTCTAACACTGAGCAACGGGCACGGGTGCAACACGTAGTCTGCATTTGTCTATGAGCTTAGAGGCGATCATCACTTTTAATTTTTACGTTGAACGAGTATATTTTCCGCTCTTAACGAATATTGTCAATATTATAATGTCACTTTACCAAATGTGATTACACTTACGACAGTACTTCGTCCTTCGGTCTTGACCAGTGATTATTTTGATACTAAATTTCAGGGGCCAAGCAATATTACCGGGTTTCAAAACTCAATGAATGCTCACCATCTATAACATCAACCCCATAGTATTCTTATTATTTTCGTACGTCTCTGAGCTACCGGGAGCGGCCTTAGTAGTATCAAGTAGTTCTGGGTAGTATGGTGAGTAGTCTCCAGTGACGTCTTAGACCCGGGGAGAGGAGCCTACACCGTACTGTGAAAAGGAGCGAGTAAAAACCTGTCACATTTTGATAAAAAAGTTTATTTCACGTACTTCTTCTAGATGTAGGGCTGCAGTCGACAGTACTGGCATCAAAACAAACACGTTATCGAATACTACCGGTGATAATGATGACTTTAATAACTGACAATAATTCAATAATTGAATAATTAATAAATACGATTCGCTAAAGTGCGAATAAATAATCAAAAACCCTTGACTAGCACAACGGTAAAAAGCTTATACAATCGAAATAATTTCATACGAAGTCATTTTATGACTTCTCCTTTCAATGGCGAAGATTTCATAACTTTGACGTAATTTAAACAGATGTTAACTAGCTCAGGTTTTCCTCGATATGAGAGAGTCTTAGAACACAACGCAACAACACAACGCAACGCAACGCAACACAACACAACGCAACACACGGACGTCCATACATTCATGGACCATGCACCCTAGACAGAGACACACCACCGCAATTGTTCAACTCTGCCAGCCCCGCTGTTAACAATCGGGGACGAAGGCTGTCATGGAGGAAAATGTGAAAGCTATCCTGCTTAATACATCTATATTATCAATAAGCTTAAATTAAAAGAGGACGGTAACTTCTCAAAATCATGATGCATAGACTATATATAGATAACGCGGAAAAAAATTAAAACTATAAAATCAGGGAAGCAAAGAAAAAAAAACATAAAAAGAAAATATAATAAAAGAAAAGAAAACTTAACACTGGCATTTTCTTATCATGAAAAAAATATTTAGTGACCAAAACCAATAACAAAGCCAACAAAAATACATATTAAAGCTTGGATACATTAGCTTGCATTGCACAAAGTACAAATGGGGAATTAAGTCACTAATAAAAAAGAAAACGTTTGGTCCATATTTATAATTCTTGGTCTTGCAGAGAAGATGAATAACATCCAATTACAGTGGTATTTGCTATTGAAGTGGTCTGATATGGACATTACCATTCTTATTTTGCACTTTGTACTTTACCGTCCGAAATCTAGTTCCCACGTAGAAGAAACCAAAGACTGGCAGACGACACTGCAAGACAGGCCCAACACCGAGGCTGACTCAATAAGTACCAACTAGCCTTGATAAGCCCACAAATAATTTAACAATGCAAAATATGATACAGTCAAGACACCAACTACATATATGTTCACCCAAGTCTTTATCTTTGATCAATTTATGATCTAATTTTGGCATTTGACCTTTACCAAGATATCTGACCTTTGCCATAAGATTTGAAACATCTGACCTAATATTTTTTCTACATATTGAATTCCACATTTGGCATTTTTCATCACCTAATTAATAATCAGAACAGCTGGCAATCTTCTACAATTATTTCTCTCTGTTACACTGGAGGCAATGCTGCCCTCTTATGGTCATGCTAGAAACTAATATTACAGCAACATTCAGAAATATCAGAGGGCAGGTTTAGACCCCATTTCCAGAGATTAGATCGATCTACTTTAGATCGACCTAACTCCCTGGGAGTTCACGCTAAATAGCTGTCAGCCAAGCTGACACGAAAGTTAATTACCCCCTTACAGCTTGTAGTAGGCGGGACAGACGTTTAAGCCGGATTATCTGACAGTAATCTAGTGAGACTCCCCGAGGGGATAGATCGATCTAAAAGCTCTGGGAATACAGCCTTAGACTTCTAACTTAAAAATTCTTGACTCAAACTTCTTTTTCCGTCTTACCAAATAATGAGCAGCACATGTACTGGCCTTTATAAATACATTCCAGTAATGCATATAAAGCTGATGGCATACTTTGTGACTTAGGTACACTGTTGTTAAGTAAATAAATAGTCATCTAATTATTTATATTGGAATTAAACAGTAGTGTGTATTCTTTTTGCTTACATTGTTGTATCAGCTCTACTGTTATAAACCTGAAGTTAATACTTATTTCAACTCAGGATGAATGAAACTGGCACACATAACTGGATTAAATATTTAAAGAGACTGTCAAAATCTTATGGCATTTAGTATCCTTAAATTTCACAATTAAAGCTAGAACCAAACACATTTATTATTGCAATCTATTATTGTTTTAATACAGAAAATCCTTATCTCCTTCTTCTCTGTTAAATATATTTCAGATTCTACTAGTTTAGATTCTTGAATGGTGAGGAAAACAAGTGGGTTATTCACTTGCTTTTGATGGTATGCACTATCTACCCGTGTTATTATTGGCAGAAAATTTGGTACTATTTGACTCATCTAGCTATCTTAATTATCTCCAAGTGAAGATCTGTAATATTCAGGATCAAACTGATAAATAACTCCAAAAAAAAATTACTGGTAAATTTGTCAAGAGATCAGACTCCTTTTCAGAAGTTGTTCATACTAGTATATACTATAAATAAACTGTTGTGCTTTTCATCATAAATAGAATAAATTCAACCTTCAGAGACCACTGGGATTAGCTACAAATTAGAGTTCTCTTCCAGAAGCTCTTTCTCCTCCACTTCAACAGTGAAGTAGTCGGATGGATTCTCCTTGCTGATGTCATAGGAAACATGGTCACCGGCAGGAGGCAGCACTTGCTTGCCACCTTCAATGAGGTCAAGGTCATGGAATCCTTTTTTCTGACCGATTGGTAAGTCTTCCTTGTCAGTGTGGGGAAAGTCACTTGGTCTGGTGTAACGAAGGCTTTCAGACAAGTGGCGCCTTCTAGGGGTATGTCCGTGTTCACGACGATGAATGTCATGGAGGCTCTTGGGTCTGTCGTCTGTGGTGAGCTGCTTGGTTCCTTTACAGGAATCCCTGTCTGGGATTACATCTATGGAGGTTATAGTTGCACTGCTATCACTGTTCTCACTCTCTTTTCTACTGTTATTCCTCTGTACTATGGCCTCAAGGTTGCTCTCATCTCGTAGAAGCTGAGCAAGATCAGACTTCTCACGGGAAATGGGCGGCCATTCTGGCGTGTTGGCGATCTCGTCTTCTATCTCCATGTAGTGGAAACGGGAGGTTTTGGCACAGCACTCAGTGGCGGCAGCAACTTTTCTTCTGATATATCCATCTAGGATGAAAGACTGGAAAGAAAATTGTATGCTGACATTATGTATAAATAATTGTTACAATTTGTGGCAATTAACTGATCCAGTCTTTAAGTACTGGCAAATTAGAGGAAATAAACAATTTAGAGCAAATCCCTCATGGATGTTGCATCTTTAATCTCCACATAATAAATAGGCAAAAATTCAGTGTCAATGTTATGACGGGTGCCTTCTTAAATTTGTGACCTGTGAACAATGATTTCCTTGGGTTAACAAATGTTTTGCTGATTATGCCAAAAAAAAAATAAATAATAATAATTAGCTTTGCTGCAACAAATAAACAAAACCACTGTGACATTTTGTAAAGTCATGGTTGACAGTAAAACAAAGCTTACCTCCAGTATCATGGAAAGGAAGAAGTTGATGATAGCAAAACCCACCATCAGTGTTCTGAACAGCACAGACGGCATCAACTTCAACTGTAACAAAAACAAAATGTCCAAGCACGTGAAAAATAACTCAAGCATCAATAAATTACAGAAAATGTCAAGTTTTATTATTTTCCCCTGTTTGATACAATGATTTTGTGTAAAGTAATCTATAAGTAGATTAGTTGTCATGCTTTTAACAACACACATTTTCATTCCAAACCAGAAACTCTCCTTTAATCTAAAGAGGTTGTTCTTGACCTTTTTTTTTTCACAAGAAGAAAATTAAATGCAGCAAAACTTAATTCTGGGAACAGCTTTCTGTGCCCTGAGGAGGGGAGAACCTACCTCCAGTAAGTCCACCATGAATGGCAATGGGTAGATCACTATCCACACTGTACATAGGGTCAGTATGATCAAGTTGATCAAGAAAGCATCTGGACAAATAAAGAAAAAAAAAAAAAATTAATAACAATGTTAACTGTATTGCATCAGCTAATATGCATTAATTTCATAAACTTAGGTAATAGAGAACAATTACATATATTGGAAATAATAAAATTATATTTTCTAAATGTATCAAAAACTTTCATCATTTTTTTAATCATCTGTTCGTTATGAGTATTCTCCATATTTTTTTAATGACTATAACACCAAACAAGAGAATATAAATACTTACAGTTGCTGAAGACTGTCTTCCTAAGTGGCGCCCCCTTGGAGAAGACGACCGCCAGTGTGATGTACTGGAATGCAGAGACGCTGAAAATGGCTGAGTTCTCATAACTGGCGTACTCATCTACAGGATTGATCACATATGGCACAAACCTGGGAGATAAAAACACATTTGGCTGATACTGAACCTCAACCTTGTGCAATGCTGATTGACATTCCACACAACGTCATATAATTGTATACTGTTGTATGCATCTTGCTCAAAAGTTTAGTTTCACCTACACCAAATTGATGAGAGACTTCTCTCTCTGTCTGCCTGTATGTTTATTCTCTCTCTCTCTCTTTGTGTTGTGTTTTGGCTGTATACTCTCTATGCACATGTTCTCTCTCTCTCTCTCTCTCTCTCTCTCTCTCTCTCTCTCTCTCTCTCTCTCTCTCTCTCTGGTTCTACTACATACCAAGGCTGTACGTATACAAGCAGATAGGCCAGTGCCTGCGCTGTGGTCTGTATCCCCATCTGTAAGATAACGGACAGTATGGGCTGTGGGGAGATCAGGCTGATGGGAACCTTGTCTTTGGTCAGTTTGGAGAAAGCACCTGTTCTGCTGACTGCAGGCAAAACACAGACAAAAATATTAACACATAGGTTTACTTAGTTCAGATACTTCTTACTTTCCAAATCAATTTACAAAATACATTAGTACGTATGACAGAGAAGTAGATATAATATTTCAGATCCATGTTTAACACAAATTTAATCTACTTTAGAAAATGTGAATAAGAAAAACTGTACTAGCCAAAGTCAAACAAGAGAATACCTTTCCTAACAAACAAAGAAATTAATTTCATTTTTACTACAAATCTCCCACACAAGTCCAGTCAGCCACTTACATGTAATACTCAGAGATGTTAGCACCACAAGATCTATATAGAGAAACTGAAAATCTGTCAAATTGCTGCCAATCTGAAAGAAACACAACACTTATCATATTTATTTATTAAGTTTAATTTTTAAAAGGATAAAAATGTGATCAATATAAAATTTATTTTCCCCATTGCCCTCAACTTATATAATAAATCATCATGATCAAACTGAGTGTGACTGTCAGTTCATCTCTCCAGTTACATCTATGAATAAAAGGTAAAACAATAGATTAAAAAAAAAAAAAACGTACAAAATGATGGACTTACCCAGTAGAGAATGAGAACAGACACAAACTGTGTAAGACTGTAACATGCCATGTACTTGAAAATCCCAAACGTGGTGGTTAGAGCTGCTCTCCCCTCTCTGTGGAAGACAAATCCACAATCTTTAAATTGAGTATGGTGAACATTCACATGGTGACAGTGTGTTAGCTGTGACAGTGTGTTGGGTGTGACAGTGTGTTAGCTGTGACAGTGTGTTGGGTGTGACAATGTGTAAGATATGAGTAACACCCTAGTTTCACTAGTATATTCAGTGCTAGCAGCACATTCTCTATCCTCACCTTATCACTGTGGGCACACACTCTATATTCTGATGTTTGGAGGTAAAAGGTGATGCCACTGAAGCCTCGGCCTCTGACAGAGATATCCCAGCATGGGCAGTCTTCAGGGCCCCACAGTCATTGGCTCCGTCCCCACACATTGAGACATAGTAGCTGAAACAAGTGGTCTACATATTATACTAACCAATACTACACAAAACAATATATATTTTGATTAATATGACAAATTCACCCCATTTATTTATTTAAAAAAAAATAACAATTTATGTTAAGGTATAATTTAGCAATTGTATAATACTTTATATTATTTTGTCTATAATCAGAAGTAAATCATTCAGAATATCCATCAGCTTTAATTTCACATGAAGTTTTTCATAAATAAATTATGTACATAGAGTACTCACCCCAACTGTTGCAGTGTCTCCACTAATTGCTGCTTCTGATCAGGTGACATCCTGGCAAATACTGTGCCCCTTACAACAATCTAAAATGATAACAAGTTACTTCGTTGGCTATTTTAATGAAAAGTTGTTATTTTTCTAGTTGTCTTTAACTTGTTACTTTGAAGATAAAACTAAGGGTGTTCCTCCCTATATAAACTGGTCTTTTCTCTGTAATTACATTCCTTATATTTCAGGAGTAGCGCAGTTTAAAATATAGTGTGCAACCATATAAATTATACCAGATATACATTTATTATGCTATTATGAATATAGTTCTTTTTGCCATGAAAAATATTACCTTTTATTCATTTATTACGCTAACCTTATTTTCTTACTTCTTTCACTTAAGTAGCAAACAGCTTTTGTTTAGGGAAACTAAGGCCATGATATATGTGCAGCAGTTACCTTTGGCAAAAGTTCTGGGTAGTGTTCTTTGATAACTGTCCATGTTTTCCCCGAGACAGCAAAATGGAAGTGTTGGTCAGTCAAGTCTATATCAATGGCTGTGCTCTGGAATGATATAGGTATCACACATTAAAGATATTCATGAAAATTGTGTCCATGCCTTAAAAAAATGATTTTTGACAGCTTTAGGGGTGGTGAACTGTGGTGCAATATTCCCCAAAATATTATTTTGTTTGAAAACTTATATTCTATTTTAATCTACTCACAGTAATATTGTTAGATGTGACTGTGTTATTGTGCTAGCTGTGACTGCAATATTGTGTTTGATGTGACGGGGTGTGACACTACCTTACCTCATTCTATACATATGTTAAGTACTGCTGGAGATCATACACTGACATATCAAAAGAGTGCCTTACCTTCCAGGGATCACAATGAACCTCCTCCACCTTCCGCTTGGTGTCCTCTGCATACATCCACTCTAGGGTTGGTCTTGTCTTGCCTGGAGGGGGCAGCACTGAGTTCACCAAGATGACATGGTGGCTGGGGTCAATCATGTCACAGTCTCTGGCCACACTCACTGCTGTCAACATGTTGTCACCTGGAGGACAATTATAACACTTTGTCATAAATCAAAAAAAAAAAAAAAAATCCCACTACATTTCAGGGCAACAAATAAATATTTTTTATCTATTTAATAGATAAATTTTTTGCACATGGAAAGAATTTCTCTGTAGGGAAAATGATACCCATTACCATGACAATGCCAACTGCTGTCATAACAACCATGCCTGTTACCATGACAACAGCTGCATGACAACCATACACGTTGCTATGATAATCGCACCAGTTACCATACCAATCCTACCTGTAACCATGACAGTGCGCACATTTGCCTCCCTCAGTTGTCGTATAACAGGAGTTGTCTCAGGTTTCAGTCTGTTCTCCATCACCAGAAGTCCCAGGAATATCAGGTCGTACTCCACCTGCTCTCTATTATAAAGAAACAAATACAAAGTGAGCATTTTGGTAAGGATAAACCATCTCTACATTTCCAATAATTTGTTTCTTATTTCACTTGGGCTTCCTCTATCAAATTCCACTTTAAAATAAGAGGCCTTTTAATAAAATTTTCTTTATTTTATCTATTTTTTCTTTTACTTCAAAGCATAAACAGTTTTTCGTTTTAAAGACCAGAATACTTGCTACACCCAAGCATAGCTACATATCTCAAGTTTCAATGACAGATATCAAGTCCTGACAACTCCTACTGCCCACACTGTGCCCACCTTGTAATTCTCTGTGTCTTCACATAGTTTACTTTGGCATGCAGTGGCTTCCAGGCCAGAGCTAGCACCCTATAGCCATGTTGGGTGTACTCCAGTAGTTTATCATGGAAGTCTACAGGAACTGGGGGAGAAATAAAACATGATATCATTACATACCACACTGGCTCAGTAAGATTATAGTAAATATAAATTAAAATATTTTTGAAAGCTCATAAAAGCATACAAGTATTTGCCAATATCTGTATGAAGTAATACATCAACTACGACTATCTTGTAAAAAAGACATCTTTCACCCCTCAACTTACTTGTTTCCGCCTTGCAGAGCGATGCGATGGTCTCTGGTGCTCCTTTGGCATACAGACAGAAGTTTCTCTCTCCCAGCGTCCTGGCAATAACGGACATCCTCTGCAGACTGGAGGAGAAGGTGAACTGGCGTACAATGCCTACTTCATACGGAGTGTCACCCGGCTGAAGACAAAGTGAAAAAAATCTTTATAAAATACAATCAGTGATTTATTTAATACAACACACACATACACACGGAGTAAATTATGCCAAATGTCAACAGCAATGATTCAAAATTTAAAACTTAGTGCATAATGCAACAACCTACAGGAATATAAATTGCACAGTGAAATCACACAGTAAAATTAGAATATTTACTCCAGATCACTGTAACAAACATCCCACTGTGCCAACTGACTCTACTTTCTCACAATGACTCAAATGATTCTTCCTTTTTCTTTTCTACATTGAATCTGATATTTTGGGAGTGCACTTACCTCATTCCTTACAAACAGACATGTCTTACCTCATTTATTTCCAGACTGGAGTCTCGGACCACATCAGGGTGGCGAGGGCGGACCACAGTGGGGGCAAAGGTGTCAAATTTGGAGGTGTCCTCCTCACCTGGCTCATCAAGTTCCTGGATATCAAAAACATGGACTATTTCAGGGAGGAGAATGCTATTTAGTAAAAAAAGTTGGAAAACATGGCATTGGGTCCAGGGGGCTGCCTAGGACTGATATTTTGGGCTCCAAAGAAGTTGGAAATCTGCTGATAGTGGGGATAAAACTCATCTCTGACAGTTAGACTTCTGAATTTTTGTTTCTACATGAATTGTAGAATCAAGAAACAGCGCATGGCAAAACTACAGAATGTCACGTTCCTTTAAATAAAGTGAATTTGATTTTAAAGTAAAAGACACGGAACGCAGCCCTCCTTAAGTATACATTCCATTAAAATATAAATTTCTCTACTGCACTGGAACTATAATGTTACCTAGGCAACTTGGACAGCTTGTGGCGTGCTAAAAAAAGGAAAAAGGAAAAACTCACCCAGTCTGTGACCTCAAACATCTTGAGGTCAAGGGGGTCGCCACTGATTTGACCTTTGATCTTTGTGAGTGAGTGACATGTTGCCATGGTGATCAGGAATGGTCCCCTTGGTAACAAGCTGGGGGCGTGGACAACTTCTGTAAACCTATTTAAAAAATATTGGAGATAATGAATAGAGGTAACAGCAGCTAATGAACTGGAAGGCTATTCGACTCCTCATTTCCAACATACTCATATAACCATCAGCATTTCTATATTCTACTCAGCGTCAGGAGGAGGCATGTTAATTTGAATCCTTGGCAACAGTCAATTTAAGATATAGATATTATAACTCTATGTATGGTGGACACTGACCGTTGATCACTGGCAGGCAACACGCCCCACATGTCCAGTCCATCCTCAGTCAGAGTCCCCGTCTGGAATGAAATTATTTCTTAATTATTGAATTATGCAGGGATGGGATTTGTTTGTGTGTGTGTGTGTGTGTGTGTG